TAGAGCACCGCAGACTGCAGAATGTAAAAAAAAACACAGTCAGCTTCTGACTTAAAAAACATAAGTACTTTGGATTAATTTATTGGCCTGTGTCACCTGCTATGAATATTACTGTGATTTCTTGAATTATTAGTGTTGATAAAGCTCCAAATTAATTATCGCCACTGATCTACCCTATGCATTAAAATTACTATATTTTTTGTGTGACCATGTCCATGAGGAAAACGTAAACTTTACAGGGATTTGCCTTAACCCAGCGTGACAAAACTGCCAATACTTGGTCAGAGCTTAGCGCCTAGAGCAAAAGCACCCTCTCATCGGTTGAAAAGAGCCATGTTGGTCGGGGTGCTCATTTTGTTGGTAGCAATGCGACTGTAACGCATGCATTTCATACTAGCTTGTGAACCAGCGATGAAGTGCCTTTCTTGTTCGAGCTCGGGCCTCGTAGCAGAAGGGATGTTAGAGGCTTACGTTTTTGTTTAAATCTTCTTTCGAAGATGAAACTGGCAATGTTGAATCAGAATCATCAAAGATACAGAAAATTATTTCCAACAGAAAAAAATCAAAATGTCATCAACGTGCTTGTCCATATGTCAGTGCACCATATGCTAGGCATACCAATGTACGGGTAAGTAAAAACAAAACGTGGTTAGGCCTCATATCCGTGGTACAAAACGATTGCTATTAAATACCAATTTCAAAGTTTCGTAATTAATTATTCGGCAGGCTACCCTGCAAGTTAATTAAGATGTTCAAGCTGGAACATATTTTGTATTTTTTGTGATTATAAAGTCCAGAATCTGTCATCGGAATAACGTGATACCTTGGTCAGTATAAGATGGAAAGCTTTTTTATGTAAATTGCAACCCTCTCGTTATGGTCAGGCTCTTAGTTGACTTAGCACTTTTCACATAGATCACATAGACATCAAGTGTCGTGAATACGTGATTCCGTCGGGCCTTGCTGACGCACTCAATGTGCGCTGTATTCTGAGCAATCAGTAATTACAGCATCCCATGCTTGGAACTAAACTCGTCCGTCGGGGATAGCAGAAGGCTGTTAAATATACGCTAGCGCGTTCAGTGTACTTTCTCTCGAAAAAAAAAACCCGAATAAATCAGGTTGTCTTGGTTAAATAAACTGCTGAGGTTAGTGTACTTCTTTTGAAAGGCTCCCTTTCCTCTGTCTCTTTGAAATGCAAATCTGATACACGGCATTACAAAGGTTCACATCGAGAGAGATGGAACACCATTTCCGAACATCAATTTGTCTGACTACCAGATACATTAATATAGAGGCAGTTTACATGACACTTTGTGTATAGACAACGCCGTAAAGAATTATTAGAACATTCGTTATATTAACAGAATGTTAAAATGCTACCCCCGGGTGTATGATTTGTCGTCCACGCGACTGATGTAAACCGTCATGCTGTAACGTTGGGAATGTATACAAACATCATTTTGTTCACGTCTTATTTACAAACGCTTTTGAAAAAAAATGACCATATTATTCTTACAGATTTCTTGTATTTTTGGGGGTGGGTGGGTATCGTCTTTTTTGTCTTTTAATAAAAATTGAAATGACCCAAGAGAGTCTTGTGGATGGTACTTCGCTAATAAAGTACAAAACATTCTACATCAGACGTATGTTCCTAGAAATACAAATCGCGGAAAGTAAATTGGCGCAATCAGACACCTCACAAATACACAATTTCTTTGTCTTTACACCAGCATGTGGATGGTTGATTAATTAACCGGTAAACACGCTTGTATACAACATCTGCATTTCCCTTCTAACTCTGGTCATAAACTGTGAAATTTTCCTATTCCTATACTTAACAAATATGGCACCATGAAAGCCATATAGACTTATTTTCCTCAAGCCATAGCCGCTAACCATTGGCACCCCAGATGTGTTCCAAATTAAGGATTTTCATTTTAGTGTATCGCAACTTCGAAGAGATTAAAACAGTCGGTGCTGCAGAAATAATCAAGACCGGCGGATTATTTAGTAGCTTTTCTCTTAGAAAAACCGGCACATCCGGAAAAATACTTGCAGTACTCCCGTGTTTCGATGAAGGGAAATAAAACATGAGCACAGAAGGTTCCTTTTCGAGCTGATCAGGCAATTCCTCGACACCTTCATGTCTTTGTTTAGTTGATGATTTATCAGTGTGAAAAGGGTAAGTCATCATCGATGTGGTAACGCTAAACAATGTTTTTTTGTTTCACCGATTCGCATGAAAATCGTTTCGAAGAGGAAAAAGTGTGTGACAAAAAATGTCTGTAATCCGTGTGGAATACAAGACGACGGAATCAGCTCTAATACATAGAAGCTCGTCACTGTGAAAACGCAGGGCGTTTTTTCCCAGCGTTAGGTATACCAGGTGAATTTACTGTTGGACAAACAGATCACCCAACAGCGTTGATTTTCTCCTAAAACTTGTCTCATTTTACCCAAAAGTTGTAGAAAATGTTATTTTTAGAAGCATTTTTTTACCCAGCGTTTTGATCTTTCTTTAAGCGATTCACCTGGTGCCTTTAACACGTTGGGCAAAAAAATACCCAGCATTTTTTACAGTGTTCCTCTTGGAAAAAGGAAGCAATTCCCCTCCTATGCATCATCCCTTCGCAGGTTTCCGGAAGACCAAGCTTCATTTCGGCGCAGGGTCCTATGACTCGACAGTAATCTGTGGCCATTATGCAACAGCCGCAAACAACAGTTCAATTTCCAAGGGACACCCCAAACGAGTGGATTAAAACTCGAAATGGCGTCGTTAAACGTCTTTAGGGAATTTACTGTACAAAAAGTTAATAGCAGTAAGTGCCCAGCTTTGTTGTATAAAATGTCCCAAAAACTCATCCCTTGAAAATGAGCAGACCTCGATGTGACAACACTCTTTTTTTTCCAATAGCGCACTTAATAGTTACCACGAAAAAAAGGAAAGATTCTTTTAAAGGCAGCAGCCTGAATATCGTACCTGTATAATATTAAGATTGACAAATGACGTACTTGCTGGATAACTCTGTATTTACTTTTGCTCTTTGTCACAAAGAGAATGTTATTCATTTTTCATCCTCTTTGGAGTTCCACACAAGAAGTTTTTGATGCTTTGAATTTCGTTTTGTTTTGAAGTTTTGAAATATTTGTCTTCGAACCCGGGAGAAACAATTTTGTCCTAAAGGACTGCATATTGGTACATTTTGCAAACAGACTGTCTGTTAGTTTTGTCAGCGATCGTAAATAGGGGCGATTGTGAGTGGGAGCACGCGCTAGGCCTCCTGAGATTTTTGCAATTTGAAGAGCACAAATAATAATTTCGAACGAGAGAAGAATCGCTGTCGAAATCACCACAGCGTGCCCAGCCAAAATTACGACTCCTGCACACCGCCGTAACTTTATCCTTTTTCTGGTTCAAGTCGATCTCAAATCGGCCGAGGCGCCCAGGAGGCAAATGTTTTTATTGACTTCTACGTGCTTTGAAATTGGTTAAAGCGACACTACAGTTGGATTTTCAAATAAAAAAACCCACATCAGTGGTTAGCTTACAAGCTGGCCTGAATAATAGCGAAAGCAAACCTACGCACTTCCCACCTCCCTCAAAACCACTTGAACTACTGTAGTAACTTGTTAGGAATATATTTAACTGAAAGAAAGATCGATCGCATTTTGGTCGGAGGTCACACCAACCAAAATAAATCTTGAAAGTATCCAGCGAGTACATAATGTTTTAAAAATGTTCAATAAAAAAAATAAAATAAAATAAAAATCTTGAAATAAAATAATGTTGTGAAAACATATTATTCCAGAGTGACTGAATACATTTTCCGTATAACATTTTATATGTCATTTACAAATGCTATAGCTGTCCACGCAAAACACGATGAAAGCTTTTAAAAATCTTTTGTGAAACGAAATAATTGAAAACATACAAATGTCTACAGACAGCGCAACATCTAAGTTTTTAAATGGAGGGAAGTATTCGGGGGGTGGTGGAATCCACCCGTATGCTGTGAGAAGGTCTAAAATAACCCAACCCTTTTTGGATAAAGGTTATATAGGCCTATTATTGCTTGTATGTAAATATTAGCTCGTCCACCCGGGGCAGGTGACACGGGAGTGCATATAACAGATCCCTCCATGTGAGCGTACTTAAAAGATTCTATCCGGACATGTCGTTGCAGTAATACGTTATTAGAATGAAAATAATGAATATTCACAAAACATGCATTTCAATTTTAGCATTCTTAGAACTTCTATAGTTCCTACCCAGTAACTTTGATGACGGTCATCTAGCGATATCCAAATCAGAAAACTGCATACGGCCATGGGCGTCGCGATGGGAGGGCAAGAGGGGGCACTCCTCCCCCGGAAAAAAGTAAATAGGAATAAGAGAGGAAATGGGATGAAAGTCAAGGATTTGATTTAAAAAATATCGCCCCTCTACTCTTTAATGGGTTACCATAAATTACAAATCCTCATCTGTCGCCAGGTTTATCTTGTTTACCTGCATGTCGAAAAGTGGTCCCCCCCCTTGCAAAAATCTTACTCCCTTGCATGGAGACGCCCGTGCATATACGGCCTGGCTTTTTAGTTCAAAAGATGGTTGGGTTAATAAATCCATCTATCGGCTGATCCGTCTTGTTTTCAGAATGTTATGACAGCCGTAAACCCGTAAGATTAAAAAAGCCAGTCGGCATAATTGTACTTACATATTCAAACGGTTGTACTTCGCGCAATAAAATCATCCAGCGTTGATGTAATAACTCTCCTTTTATCATTCAAACTTTTTTACAGTCCTCCCGTATCAACTGTTAACATATTATGGCTGAAACTTCCGTTTACCCCAAATTGTTGTTTACGTCGTTTGCAATTAATTTCCTCCTCATGTGCGCGTGACACCAGTTCCGCATACTGAGGACCAGTTGGTTTCACAAGGATCTCGATCCGTGATACCATCGCCGATTCGCTCCCTCTACTAAGCGGGCTTTGGTGTTAGTAAACCACGATGGATCGCTGATCGCGATCTGGAATCGCATGAAACAAACTCGCCCCAAAAGGGTAAGTTTTCGTGGCAAGGTCGCTGACAACAAATTAACTATTTTCAAAGCTTACCGATTCAGGTACCCTCTAAAATCAATGTTGGCTTTCCCACGGTATTTGTTTTGCAGTGTAGTTTGGAAAATACCACGTGCGGATCGGTATGCGGATCCAACTCCACTCGGTCACCGGATATGCTGGTTTTTGTGACAAAGTACACTGACGATGATGTAACTGATTGAAAGCCACTGTGGTTCATCTGCACGGGTGAGCATCATTGTTAGCTTCATAGGAAATAATTTGGTAGGAATGTTTCGTGTTTTCGCATTAACTTCTACATGCATATGACGTGGACGTAATTTTTACTACGTAATTTAGTTGGAACGAGGGTGGTTCTTTATTCATTAAGACTTGAGATGGTTTTGTGAAATCGTATATGTCGTATTGTATCGCCACATTTCAGTGTCTGTCCTTTGAAAATCTAGCTGCCACCATCATTTATGTGGCACAGTTTTACTTCTGTTGTGTATGTGTAATGAATGAAGAAATTTATTGAAGCAGAAAAAAGATTATCTCCTAATTTTCCTACATTAATTTCCGCCTTGATGACCGTAGGCTACCTTTGAAACGTACGGAAGTAATTTCTTCTTCTGCAAAAATATTACGACCAACATTTATTAGTCAGTACATCGCCTAAAATTTCCAATCTTCAAATACGAACTTGCCTTACCTCTCAGGCAAGAGGTGTAAAATGATCATTTTGAAAGTAATTATCTTTATTCAACAATGTTTTTCAGGGGCATATATCAAAGCCACTTTCCCAGTGTATGCAAAAGTCGACCGTGAACAAAGACATGTCGGCAACGTTATCCAAGTCAGGGGGACAATGTACTTTGTGACGTTATAAATACCTTCAACTCTGGCTAAACTTACCTGCAGGCCCGATTTAACCCTGACACTGCAGACTCATTATTTAAACGAACCATGCGCACTCACTTATCACTTTCACGAGAAAGGACTGACAGTTACTGAATTAGTTTTTGCTATCGTAGAGCTAGGTCGAGCCGATTGATGCTCCTTGTGGCTCAAAGCAGGCTAGCCCGCCAAGGATTGCGTTCAGTCGAACTTTTATACGAACCTTCGGTCCAGTGATTTTACTCCCAGTACATGTAATCGATAAACAGACGTGACACCCAAAAACAAATCAACACAGTACGTGTGTTCCTTAAAGCCTGTTTCCAAAGTGATTATTACTCAAGATATACAACTAAACAGTACCGTAGATTAATAAATTGATTAAAAAAATTGGCTTTCTCTTAGTTTATATTGAACATTGATTGATTGAGTGATTTTGTTGTATGTGTTACCCTTGAAAGCGTACCGCTCGACGAGTGAACGTCGGGTGCCCTACTTGACATAAACCATTTCTATGTTAACTCCCAACTGTACAGTTAAAAATGTGACTGGAAATGAGACTAAGATGATCAAACATTGACAACATTTGCCTTTGGTCATTACTAACTTTGACCCTCTGCGCCCAGCTAACACAAATGCCTATGAGGAAACAGTGCTAAGTTGATTAAATTTTAGCGGTAACTAAAAACCACTGGGTACCAATGAATATATATTACGCTACTGTAGGGCTGATACCCTGTTCTCGCTTAGCAAAATCTCGTTGCTTAGCACAATTCTGTGTTCTGAGAAATGTGCATTTTGAATCAGAAATCAGCCTCAGACAAAACTGACATGCCTTACGGCGTCTCACGCTACAATTCATGTACAAATTAGGGCTTATGCTTACACGTGCAGCGTTACTGAATCTGCATAGTCATTTATTTAACAGATCCAACTTGTCGACTGGTGTGGTTAGTAGAACGGTGGCTGTTTTTTGATTATGTGACTTTGTTTGGACTATCGTGTCAAACATTATGCAGTCCAACTTTAATGTTCCATGTTGATGACACATTTACAAAAACGCAAATACTCAGACGTTTGGGGCAAACATTGAAAAATGTGCAGGTAGGCTGTTCGTCTCATTTATAGGAAAAGTAGTTTATGGTAAAGCACTTTTTATCAGGTTCAATCAGTCTCACATTCATAGCGATTGAATTATATTCTGGCAAAAAAGCAGACATTGCATACCTTTGACAGGCAATATCAACGGTCTACCACCAGTGGTTTAGCCGGGGGGGGGCACCTGGGGGCACCACAAATTCGTGGTGCCCCCAGGTGTCCCCACTAAAAGAACGGATAAATGGATATTGAACAAGGCTAACGAAAGCTTTCCCCCAAAAAAACACATTAGCCTGTTGCCCCCATGAAATGCTGATGCCCCCACTAGTAAAACCTTAAATATACAGCACTGCCTACCACATCCTTTTGAAAAGCTATATGTGTGCTTTTGGTTGGCAACGCAAACGAAACAGTGGACAGCCGTATGCAGAATCACACAAATGGAAGCCTAAGAAATTAAAGCGAAACAAACTTTTAAAAATTGAATGAGCTTTGCATTGTATCGTTCAAGCTTTCCATATAACAGAATAACTATAACTGCAGCCCTGAAGATGTGGAAATTTGCCTTCCCTTAGAAGTCTCTACATCAATTCCAGTATGTAACCTTGTAAACGTGCATGCCTATACGGTAACTAGTTTTAGTTTCGTACGTCAGCGTTGGAAACCCAAGAACGGAAACAAATTGACTTCAGAAAGTGTTCAAGCATATAGCCCAATTGCCGTCTCTGCCTACACTCACCGTTTGGCAACCTGTCGTAACAATTAGCTAGAGAATCCCTTGTACTTGTCTAAATTACACTTTGAGCATAGTGTCAGTACATAACCATTTTCTCGACAGCCAAAACATAAGGTCCATAGACGTCGTTTCTGAGTAATCTAATTGTACCCTCATCATGTGATTTTTTGGTTGGTTTCAGCTTCAACAAACAAAATACGTTGTGGAGCTTGTCTTCAAATGTCAGGACAAGAGGAAGATAATCTCCCTGGCGACTGAACCACGTTACAGCTGCAAATATTTCACTGGATGAAACACAATTTAGGAAGTTTTCAACTCACAAGCAGGCGCCTCGTAGATAGCAGGTAGTTGATTTGAATGTAGTCATCTTTAAACAATGTTTTACAACGCTGTGAAAGAAAAGGTTCTTTTCAGTGCTGCTTTCTTAATGTATGTGCAAGTCGATCGTGGTCCAAGAGGCGTGAGTAAATGTCATTCAACATCAGGGGACAGTGTACCTTGTGACGCTACAAATGCCTTCCATTTTGGTTCAATTTCCCGGCAGGTTCGCCTTAAACCCGTCCCACCACAGCAGAATCGTTCTTTGATAGTTGTTTTCCAAATGAATGAGCTATGCGCACTTTCTTACCACACCAAGAGAACGGACTGACAGTTAATGACTTAGTTTCTGCTACAGTAGATCTAGGTCGAGCACTGATGCTCCTCGTGGATCAAACAAAGCAGGCTGGCCGACCGAAGACTGCGTTCAATTCACCTAATAGGAACCTCCGCAACAGTGAGTCTATTCCCAGTAACCGATAAACAGACGTGGCACGAAACAACAACACAGTACGTGTGTTCCTAAGCCTAAAATTCTGTTGCCAAAGTGATAGTTTCTCAATATATACGGGTAAATGGCAACCCAGTTTATTGAAATCCTAATAAATTCGGTGTGCTCTTAGTTAATCATGGGCGTTCATGAAAAGTTAGCTGCTGATATTATCATTTTTGTTATTAAGGCAAAGGATCTTTGAGGATTTCTGGCCAAGAAACACGCCAATAACTCGACACGCAGTAGATGTGGGTAACATCTTGTAAAGGGAAACTCTAGAAGTACCCCACTTGACGGGTGAACTTCGGGCGCATTACCTGACCTACTTTACTCCAATTTTAAATTTACCTGTACGCTTAAAATGTGACTTTAAATGAGATCAAGATGGTCGAACCATAGGCATCTTTCATTGGCTATAATTCGTGCCGTTATCTTTGTTCTGAAGAAAGCTTAAACTTAAAACCCAAACGAAATTCTGTCGCTCTGGGTCCCCCCTTTTTAAGTTGTTGTTGTTGGTTTTTTATTATTTCCTCTTCTTTTCATAAAGACTACCGTAGGTATAGAAATGTAAAGATAGGAATATCAAGTTTAGAAGAGGAAGTAAGACTAAAAAACAAAAGCTTGTGTAAGGCCTGCTTTTCTACAATACTTCACACAATAATAAAGCATGTGGTTCATACTAGAAAACAAACAAAAAAGACAAAATTCAAAATCGAATACACATTAGGAAACGGGAGTTACAGAAGAAAGTATGTACAAGTTACGAATGCAAATTATCAAGAAACATTGCCAAGTTAATTAAAGCAGTAAACGAAAACCTGCTGACTATCGATGAATGTAAATTACGCGATTGTTTGGCTGGTACCCTCAGTACTCTCGCTTGGTAAATTCGGATGTGATTTGCACATTTCGGTATTCCTAGAAATGGACGGTACCAATTAGAAATGAGCAAAAGACACAAACTCTTATATGTAATAGTACGCTACATGTATACAAAATTCAAAATCGAATACACATTAGGAAACGGGAGTTACAGAAGAAAGTATGTACAAGTTACGAATGCAAATTATCAAGAAACGTTGCCAAGTTAATTAAAGCAGTAAACGAAAACCTGCTGACTATCGATGAATGTAAATTACGCGATTGTTTGGCTGGTACCCTCAGTACTCTCGCTTGGTAAATTCGGATGTGATTTGCACATTTCGGTATTCCTAGAAATGGACGGTACCAATTAGAAATGAGCAAAAGACACAAACTCTTATATGTAATAGTACGCTACATGTATAAGTTTGAGCTTATACTTACATGCAGGTTTAATATCAAGTCTGCATTATCATTAACAGATTAAACTCGTCGAGTGGTGTAGATTAGTAATAGAACGATATAATGGATCAGAGAAATCTGAATTGCCTTGCCCTGAAGAAGGTACTCAGTTATCGAAAGCTCAGCAATCACATATTTCAGAGTACTGATTTGATATTATATTCTTGTCAGTAATACAACGATGTTTGTCGCTTCGATGTGACCTTGTTCCAAAACTTCTCTGTCGTGCGGAACACCAGTCCAGCTTTAATATTGTGTGCTGTTTATTCATGGCGCATTTATCACTATGCAAATATTCATAGAGAAAAGTGCAGGTAGGTTATTTGTCTCTTTTAGAGAAGAAGTTAAGTTCCCCTTTGTAATTCCACACAGCGCCGCTTTTGTTTGCAGTTGAACAGCTATTTGGGCAAAAAGCTGAAATTGTTTAATTTAAACGGTCTATTGCGGTTTATTTGATACCACATCCTTGAAATAAAATTCCAAAGTTACATGTTAATTGAGTTGCCAGTGAAAACAATATACAGCCAACGGTTAACCAGATAAGAATATGATTGATGTATAGAATTACACGAGTTAAGAATAAGAAGTATAGCCTAAGAAAACAAAGCGAACTTCCGTGAGTTTTTCTTAGTTTGGTTCCAACTTGCATTTAATCAGCTAATAGAGTAACGGTAGCCATGAATTTTTTGGGGGGCTTTTAATAAATGAGAAGTTGAATGATTCCGGTATGTAACTTGGTGCATGTGTATGCTTATACGATAAGTAGCTCTGGTTTCGCACTTCAAAAATTGGAAACTAAAGAACGGAAAAAAATTAGCTTGAGAAGTTTTTCGAGCGTAAATAATGGCTCTACCGACACTCACCGTTTGGCAACCGAGTCACCATACGCCTCAGAGATCGCTCATCGTAGCACCTTGCATGAAAAAAGTCATCGGTAAAGTGTATCTTAATACATAGACGGGTCTATTTTTCTGACCGTGTTTCCCCCATGCCTTGCCTCTGAGACCAAGCACCGCCAACTGAGCCCCTACGCTCCCGCGTAGCCGACACGGACATACCGACAGGTACCGGGCGCACAGTGAACTTCACCACCGGCTCACTTGTAATTGCCCGACGCGTTCCGCCGCCAGCCACACCGAATCAGCCTACGACTGTTCCATGTTTACAACAACCGCTTGGATGAAGGGTCCTGAAATATAAGTCTACTTAGAAGACTCACCAAACTCGGCGCAGTAGCATTCTTAGAAGTATGTTGTTCTGGGCTTAGAGCGCAAAAACCTCGTAAAAGCGAGTTCCATTCTATCATCAATAGGATACATTAAAGTAACATGCCTATCTTCTTGGAAAATGAGATGATCATCCAATGTAACCTCACTATAAATTGGCTCTCAAGTTCTCCGACTTAAGAATTAGAGCTGGCGGATGAATAAACGACGAGTGATTTACGATATTTTGTTCTAGGGTCTTGGGATTACTGGTTACCACTACACGCCTACACACTAAGAAACGAGGATCAGCTCTATCTGATAACAGCTAGTGTGGGTTTATATTACGCACAATAAAAAACCACAAATCATTGCTCATGCACCTTGCACTACCAGAATTACTTTTTTCATAAAAAAGTTTTAGTCAAGTTTTAGCGGCTTCTTATTCAGCAAGGCCCACAGCACAGGTGCTCGATTTTGCCAGTTTGCTACCCAGTTCGTTAATGTAACGTCACCGGTTTAAACCACGCCAACTGTGCGTGCACCGCACAGAGAGTTACATGCATTGATCGCCATTTACATAGAGTACCGAAGTGTGACGTCCTGTGAACCAGAAAGTGCAGTGCAAACGAGTGGAGTACGCGCGCGTGTTGGTTCACGCGCTGGTTCTCGCGCTCATGCCTTTTACACACTAACTGTGAGCGTGACGTATTCACTTCGGTTCTCTATACATGCCGCAATAAATTAATTACGCACACTCAACGTGCTCCGCGTCAAACGTGCATACTTGCGCGCATCATGGCGCACTTACGCGGTGAGTACCAAAATACACGCGCCCTTTTGTTCCGCTCGGAGCGGATAATCTCGGTCAAGGCGCCGTAGATAGTTTACGATGATCACTGGGTAGTCGCTAACAAAATGGCGGCCGGCTAGTGATTAAAGTTCTGTCGCATTGGCCACTAGAACCGGTAAAATCAGATCTCACGCAGATGCAGATGACTGGGTGGCGCAGTGGTGAAAATATTTTAATGGAAGTTTACTAAAGGCTTCTCCAGCGGCACGTGATCTTTCAGACTCTGAAATTTAAATGTGATGAGTTTTTTGTCCCAGGCAAGTAAAATAAGGCGGACGCAATCAGATATACCTGAGGAGGACCTGACTTTTACTGATACATTTTAGAGTCTGGTTTACGCATATTATTTAGTACAAATGTCTGTGATAGTATTTAAATAACGCAACAGTCGTCAACGAACTACGCGCCTATTCAGTGGGGAGCTAATAGTGTGACACTGGAGCACCCTCTTTACTTTGTGTATTTTGTTTCTTGTAGTCCTGTCTCTGCAGCTAGATGTCCCGTTCCAGTCGCCGGCAGCAAACATGTACTTCAACTGTTTCCCGTTTTGAGATTGGAAATCTCCAGAGATATGAAACGTAATTTTGCGGACGGTACGCCGCGCGGCTGACGTGCATTGGGGAAATCGGTGTTTTTCACCCGGCACTGGCCGGGTGACCTCTACTGATCCCGCGGAATTGTAAATAGTCGTTTAAAATTGACTCAATCGTATTTCTTCCGGCACTTGCATTCGGCCTCCTCTGGGTAAGTTCGATACAGACAAAATTTCATGCGTTCTTGTGATGCCTGCGGTCACTACAAAAACTGCAGTGTTCAATTGGTGTTAATTCAACACACTGGGTGTCATCAGAGAACTGTAACAGACTGGGTGTAGTCCTCTGATGCGGTGCACTAGACTGAGTGCAGTCCTCTGGTGTTGAATTAACACCACAGTTGCAGTGCAGGCGGCTTGGTTAGTGAAAAGCTGCTCAAGGGCTTAGACCCAAATATCTTTATCATTGCCACCCCAATGGAGCTTTGGAACTCAACTCCTGTCCTTGACCTTATATCCCCTCTATTGACCCTTCAAATGGAAAAGACGGTATGAATTCATTTAAATTTAAAAATATATTCTTATTCCTGAAATAAGTAGAGTTTCTGGCGTGCAATGAACAAACTGGGGGTGTAGTATCATTTGATTAAAGGTTGATTGCTTGCTTACTGCCAGGCAGATACGCAACCACGAATACACCAACGAAGAAAAAAATTTGGGCCAGACAATTCTAAAACAAATGGAGAAGTACTTGTGTGCAGGTCAATGTAACATTGAGGCCTTTTTCCTGGATGACGTCACAGTTTGCTCATAACTAGGGAAGTATTCAGCGTAAAAACCAAAACGGCAGCGAAACAACCTTTGAAATAGTAAAAAAAAAAGATGCATTTTGTATTTTTGAAAATTCCGTTGCAGCTACTCCTAAATCCCTTTTGTTTCCCCATGGGGACACACAGAAACATAATAACCAAGGCAGGTGCTATTATTGGAACAGTCTTGAGAAATCTAGAAGCACAAATCGAGACGGTGAAGCTTATCCGGGCGGCGAATAAATTATAAATGCGAATTGGGAATGTATCATTAAACAAATCATTAAATGCAAACCTGGATGATAAAAAATTGATTACACAAAGCCTCTAATACTAGTGTGCTGCAAAGGTATTCCCAAATCGACTATTATCTTGCATCTATTAGTGCCTTCAAAGCCTAAGTTTGTAATTTCACCTAGAAACGGGCGGACTGTTTTCAAGAGGCAAACAAAGCTCACTAAGCCCCCGATTAAAACAGGGCGTTCTACTCTTACAAATGTGACAACAGAATACTACAGGTACATTCATATTTATCCTAATTGTGCATAGCAAATCGATATTTACAGTGATTGCTTTGCTGTGAGTGCACTTTTAATGGAGAGAGTTACATCGCATGGTCCCTGTGGCGTATCTGTTCCGAAGATGCGCTGTTTTCTAATGTAATATTTCCAATTAAGCTCCTCTTAAAGCCTCTGATATGAATACATCATTGCTTTTTAAATTAAAAAAAGAAGTCCTATGAATTTTTATTAGCTATACAACATCCCTTGCACGGATCTGGAAACCATATACCCATGAGCCGTTTAGTTATTGAAAACAACCCTGGCAAATGACCCCCGTGAGCTGTGTTCTACTAAACGACAGTTGACCGCAATGACGCTTTGTATTTGATCTTGCATTTATCACGCGTTAATTTCAGGAACTGTTTATGATAGAAATTTCACTCTATGCAGGCCACTCTAGGCTGATATTGTCCAGTGTAACACTGTCCGGTTAATAGAACAGAATCTTGATCATTCCTCGGTTATCTTATGAATGACACAGATACTGGCCCCATAAATTAGGGTCCCTGAGCCAGTTGGCTGTTCTACGAAATATTCACAATAGTGCTTTGCCTTTTTTTAATAGAAATTTTCATTTCTTTTCTTTGCTTGCTTTTCCTCGCATAAAGCAATGGTTTGTACACTGTCTGTGTCTCTTCTTTATAAGTCCTTGAAAAATATTTCAAGTAAGATTAAAGCCACACCACTCACCACAAACCTCTGACACGGGTGGTATAGGCGTGGTATCTTGCAGCTAGACAAGAGCGACTGAAACAAAGAAAAATACGTCAGTGCAAACAAGCAAGAACGAAAGGTTCAACAAAAAGACTTTATCGTCATAGCTTGGGTTTTAGATTAAAATATTCAGTTTCTTGAACCCCGGAGTTGGTTTGAAAAAACGTCTATACGATGTCGCGCAGTTTGGGCTCACTTGACTTTGAGGTAAAACCAATTCTTGAAGGAGTGAAACTGAAAGGGTTGTTCCTGAGATACTTCAAACAACCCATATGCATCCATAAAACCCTACCTGACCCACTTTCAAAATGAATTCCCAGCGGGAACGAATGCACGTAATTGAGGACAAAGCGTGAGTATAGTTGATCACGGTCAAAAACCGCCTCTCAGCATCAAGAGAGTTGTGCGCACTTTCTTGAGTGGGAGTCTACGAATAATGAATGAAAGGAAACAAGAATGATGAAACGGCTTGTCAAATGTGCAATTCTGTGGTAATGGCTAAGCTGAATGGAAAACCCTAAGTGTAACCACACGCACAAGTATAGAAGAATAGGCCTACAACATAATTCGCGTTTATGAAAAAGTTATTAGGGGGGCCTACTGTTTACGAGGCAAAAAAACCCACAAACAAACAAACAAACAAACAAACAAACAAACAAACAAACACCCCAACAAACCCAACAAACAAACAAACAAACAACCCAACAACCCAACAAACCAACACATCCATCAACCAACCACAAACAAACAAACAAACAACCAAAGAAACAAACAAACACCTCGAGATCGAATCAGTCAGTTCCTATCTTCACTCATGGTTACAAGATGCTTCTGTGATTTCACTCAAAGGTGAAACATTTGAAATGAAATCAACTTCAGATCATTATCAAACAGGTCACGTGGTATCCATATGACAGTTGTTGAAATGACTTTACGACTACAGAATGTTACCAAAGACCCATTTGTGTCCTTTTGCGCTTTGTTCGCCACGGAATGGCCTAAAGATGGAACAGTTATATCAGCCACGAGAAGAATGTTCATTTTGTTGGTGTAGTGCGACTGCAACGCATGCATTTCATTTTCGTTCGTGAACCAGCGAAGTTCGGTTCCGACCAAAGGAGCTTCGATCCATTGCTAAAAAATTGCGCCCTCTGTTGGTCCAGCTGGCGGCCCATTGTATACAAACCATGAATTAGATTTCCATTTATATTATATAGTTTACTTTATTTACTTCAAATGGAACATTGAAAAAAAAGCATACGTTTGTTAATGGATAAGGAATTTTTTAACCCTTGGGAAGTCACCAAGAATAAAAGTGCTTCAAACGACGGACACTTTGTGGTATACAACTCTATAACTTTCAGAGTGGAACGTTAAAGGCGTGAATAAATCAAACTGGTACCCGTG